CCCCATGGGGGACCCACGCTGGAGCAGGCTGCTCCTGAAGGGCTGCACCCATGGAGGGGACCCACGCTGGAGCAGTTTGTGAAGAACTGCAGCCTGTGGGAAGGACTCATGTTGGAGCAGGGGAGGAGTGTGAGGAGCCCTCCCCTGAGGAGGAAGGAGCGGCACAGACAACATGTGATGAACTGACCACAACCCCCATTCCCCGTCCCCCTGTGCTGCTCGGGGGGAGGAGGGAGAGAAAATCAGGAGTGAAGTTGAGCCTGGGAAGAAGGGAGGGGTGGGGGGAAAGTGTGTTAAGATTTAGTTTTTATTTTCTCATTACCTTACTCTGATTTGATTGATAATAAATTCAACTGATTTCCCCATGTCATAGAATCATAGAATGCTTTGGGTTGGAAGGGACCTTCAGAGGTCATCTAACCCAACCCCCCTGCAGTGAGCAGGGACAGCTTTAACTAGATCAGGTTGCTCAGAGCCCCATCCAACCTGACCTGGAATGTTTCCAGAGATGGTCGAGTCTGGTTTGCCTGTGATAGTAATTAGTGAATGATCTCTCCCTGTCCTTATCTTGACCCATGATTTCTTTTTGTTTTCCATCTTCATTTTCTCCCCACCTTGTCCTGCTGAGGAGGGGAATGATAGCACGCCTGAGTGGCACCTGACATCCAGCCAAGTTCAACCCACCACAACCAAAGCAAGACAGAAGCAAGACTGAATTAAGACAACATCTAATCTGGGCACACAGTGATATAGTCCTGCATCAGTTTCTCCTGCAGGACAGACAGCAGTTGCATTGCTCCTGCCCCTAATGTGGGTTTTTCCTACCTCAAATAAATGTTCTCAGGTCTGAGCAACAGCACCTGGATATCTTTTTTTTTTTTTTTTTCCTTTTCATTGAGTTATTAACTAGTTCAGTATCTGCAGAGCAGAACTGCACCACTTGAAGTTTCAGACAATTATAACCAAAAAAGACTATACTGCAGAGATCTGAGGCTTGCCCAGAAAGCAGAAACTGTAAACTAAAGACCTAGGTCTCAGTCAGGCTTGACAGCAACATGTAATACGTTTCCCAGTCTCCAATGTTGTGTTCCTTTCCCCTTTTCTAATTCTGGACGCCCCAGAAAAAGACTTCAGAACAGGTGTATCCCCTGTAAAGGCATCTGTTTCATTGTACTGAAACTTTCTAACAGACTTCATTGAAAAGTACCAACCAGACAGAGCTACATACACTCCCACTATCAGAAAGAGCCAGTCTCTCCCTTTCACAGGGCTTGCAAAACCTCTGCTCACTCTCAACATCTCAAGCCTGAAAACAGACCCAAACTCTTCCTTGAAACTCAGCTGTCAAAGCCAGCTCACTACATGACACAGCTGCACTTTGAGCTGTTTGAAAATCTACACTCTTCACAACTATCACAAAGAGAAGACGTCTCTCCTTCCCCAGTCCAGGGCCTGTGGAAACACTAGATCACCCCCAGTGATTTACCCAGCCACTGCAGGCTGGATTTGATCTGCTTTGTGCTTTCAAGACAAGTGTCTTCTGCTGCGTACACATTGCTGCATACCATGCATGACTGCCATGGCACCAAATAGCCTGGACACCCATATTTGTTGTGTATTGCCAAGTCTATAATGCCTGCTGGGGAATAGAAAGCCCATAATATTAACAGAAAAGCCCCTAGAGCTGTGTGTCATCAGCAAATATTAACTAGCGGTGACAGTCAAATAATACTTCCTAGGATGGTATCACATTGCCAGAGGGCTGAGGACAGTACACGCAGCCTCAAGATCAATTTTTATTACACCACCAGTGATGGCCTCTGTTTAGCATTACCCTCTACACCAGCATCACCACAGATAATACACACACAAACAAGATGTGTTAGCTCTTTTGGGTAAAGATGCTGACAAAACAGCAGCCCTGGCCCATGAGACGTGACTCTGCTCAGCAGCTCCTGAGAGGTTATGAGCGTCATGAGCATGGAGGGAGTGTTGAGCAGTTCATCAAGAGCCGATTTGATGCCCCCACCTGCAGTTATCCCCCACCCCATAACACACTTGCTGTTTTCCCCCTGGCAGGAGGACTACAACCAGCTGAGACCCCTGTCCTACCCCAACACAGATGTGTTCTTGATCTGCTTCTCGGTGGTGAACCCCGCCTCGTACCACAATGTCCAGGAGGAGTGGGTGCCTGAGCTGAAAGTCTGCATGCCCAATGTGCCTTACGTCCTCATAGGAACACAGGTAATGCTCCTCGGGGGCACTGCCGGCATCGCGGGGGTCTTCAGAGCGAGGGGGGCTCCCACTCCACCCCAGGGGTGGAGTGGCTGGAGGCTGAGCTTTCTGGAAAGGTTTCCTATTTAACTTCTTATGTGAAATGCAGCCAGACTTCCCCATTGGAGGAAAACTCAGGGACTGAGAATGGAAACCAACATGCAGATGTCCCATCATGCTAGTCATAACTGGCAAAACTCATCCCATTTTTTATTCAAATTAATATTAATGTGGTATAAAGCCATAAATATCTATAGGGAGGAAAGATTTCTGACAGGCCTTTAGCGAGGGGAAAAAAACCCATCAAAGTCTGCGGTTAGAAGCAGAAGCTAAACTTCAAACTAAATTTTAAGAATGGAAATAATTAAACAAATGACTTAGAGACATGGGAAGGAAATAGCCTCCCTTCATGCTTTAACATCAACATTGCAAGTGGTGACTCACCGTCCTGCTTGCGTTATAGTGGATGTTAGACTAAACGATTCAACCACTTTATTTTGGCCTTAAAATCTATGAATCTATCAGTCAAACAAAAATGCCTTCAGTATGGATTTGCTTCCAAGACACAGAGCGGCTAGAGACTGTGAGAAGTAGGGATACAGCCGTCTGGAAAATGTCCGAACACTGGACAGTAACCTAAGCCAAGTTAGAGAAACAGATCAAATTCTGGTTAAAACCAAGACCTTCGTGCCATAGGAAAGTCCAATCATTCAAACACTGGCTTTGTTTTTTTGTGGAATAATCTAAAAAAACCATTTTAAAACAAAAGTATTACCCTTTGGATCACACATGGAATGCTTCACTTTGATGTTTTCCATGGAAATAAAGTATTTTGTTTCAAGTCAGTCAGACTGAGCTGCGCCTGTCTGGCCTGTCAGGGTGTTTTTTGCGTGATGTAGTGCAGGTCACAGCAGCCTCCCTTTCCAATGTGGCTCAGGCTTCCACCGACACTTTCCAAGATGCATTGTGAAAGCCATTGAGAACGGCTTCTTTACTGTATCACAGCTACCTGAACTGTGGCCCAATAACCTGCCAATGAGAACTAATTCATGTTAAACAGAAAAAAAGAAAAAAAAAAAGAAAAAAAGGAAAATACATATGCAATTAATTTCTGAAGTATCATCTGAGACGAGGAGGACAGATGCCCTTATGCAAGGACATGACTGTGGGTTTGTAAAGCTATGAATATCTGAATCAAGAATTACAGCAAGGCAGTACTCAGCACAGGGTTTGTGCATTTTCTACTAGATTGATCTCCGGGATGATCCCAAAACTTTGGCTCGGCTGCTTTACATGAAGGAGAAACCACTCACCTACGAGCACGGAGTGAAGCTAGCAAAGGAGGTAATAGCTTTTTCTGAGGTCCCATGAAATCGATTGATCACAGCTTTCCACTGGGTTTGTTTCGTTCAAGGAGAACTCCTCCAGGGCATGCTGGTTGGTCCCAGCCAGAGATTAAAGCCTCTGTTCAAACAGGCTGGACCCAGACACAGATCGCAACTTCCGAGCCTGCCATTGTGCTGCGATACCCAATTGAGCTCTAAGCAAAGCAGCAAGGTACGCAGGGCAGCAGGGGGCAAATGGGCAGCAAAATAGATTTTACTGCCTACTTTACCTAAGCCAAGTGTTTCTTGTTCAGGCTTCTGCCAGGAGGTGTGTGTGGCAAACCCCTCTCTGCAGTCGCCTCCTGCCAAACTCATCCTTATCCCTTACAAAAGCACAGGCAACTTGATTCTTACTTATCCATTGCACTTCAAGCAACAGAGAAGGCGCTCCCAAGGTTTCTGTGCTATTGCGCGTTTCTCCCGGGAAGGTAGGGAGTAGGGGCCTCCCCAAACCCTGAAATGCAGGCATCTGGACCCCAGCCATTTCCACGTTATATGCTGCAGGTGCTGTTACAGGCCCTGGCCCTCAAAGGCCAGCGAGAGCATCCATTAGCAGAATAAGCTGAATAAGCAACAATATTGCTGAATAAGTTGATGCCGCTTTCCCAGGCCACTGTTTGTGTTTGTGTCATACCAGCACCCCCAGGAAACTCAAGATGATGCTTCTGGTAGTGTAGGTTAATGGTTGGACTGGATGATCTTAAAGGTCTTTTCCAACCTAAACGATTCTATGATTCTATGACTCCCAGTTCCCAGAAACCAGCTGGAAGCCCTCCACCAGGTAGGAGCTCCCTGGCATTGCAGGAGACAGGACACAAGAGTGATAGGTCAGGGGAGAAGAGCCAAGTATATGAAGGGGCTCTGCGAACAACCCAGCATCTCCTAGAAACCTTCCCCAGCTGCACAGACAGGAGGCCAAGCTCCTGGTCCAGCACTCAAACATGGGTGCAGCCCCCCTCCCTCTGGACGGTCGTGCAGGGAATTCCTGCTCCCTATTAACCCCCTGTGGTGAGATACTGGTGTTGATGCTCATCCCTGCTCCCTCACTCAGGATGACCACCTGAGCTTGTCCCTTAATCCCATAGGCAGCCAGATACAAAACAGAGTGATGACCTGACTCCCTTTCTAAAGGTCTGGGCTTCCCTCTGTGGCAGGACACATACGCATGCAGAAGGATGCTGGAACAGGGTCGCTCTGTCTCTCCCAACAGTGGGTACTCACGTTTTCTCTCCTCTCTTTCAGATTGGAGCACAGTGCTATTTGGAGTGCTCAGCCCTCACGCAGAAAGGCCTTAAGACTGTCTTCGATGAGGCAATCCTGACCATTTTCCACCCCAAGAAGAAGAAGAAGCGTTGTGCAAAGTGCCACAGCTGCTGCACCCTTGTGTGAAGTCACTTGGAAAGAAAAACGAGATGAGTTCAATGAAACCAAGCAGGTTAGAAAGGCAATGAAGGTCACATGCAACTGAAATGGGGAACATGACCAGAAAGGGGTCCTTCTCACCCAAATATAGGAGGAGCCCTCCATTCTGTGAAACCTCCAAGCTGTATCACACTAGGCCAACTCATGTCTATGTGCTTTCCTAATCCTCCAGAGTTGTACGCAGCCTGTTCCCACTACTGCAGACTGCACTGAGCCAACAGAAACCAGGATGCCTGCTCCTGCTTGACTCTTCACCTTAGGAATAAGGTGAAGGTGACGTGTGGAAAACCAAAGAACTAAAGGTGGTAAAAGAAACAAGAGAAACTCCATTTGTGGCCTTAAGCAAGAACTGATCAAAATTAGGAATTTGCAGTACTTAGGAATTGAATCTGAATAGACCGAAAGCACATGGAGATCTGTAGAAATCTAATATGTAAGATATACACTATAGGTAGGATGTACTTTTAAATTACTTTTCTTTTATAAGACTTGCTAGTTCAGGATATACTTTTGTTTGTTCAAACAACATGGAAGCAAAGGTGGAGTGATTCCAGTTTGTTTTCACTCAATGGTGAAACTTCACAGCATCAGTATGTTGCTGCACCCAAGCTATCAAAATGGATCAACATTTACCTCCAGACTACAGGAATGTTCTTAAAACAAAAAAATGCAAATAACTGTATTTTAACAGGGGACTGTTCAGGCTGAGCCATGTTTGCATAAGCTGGGAAAGGAAGAACAGTGTTGTAGCATTAATGTACTGAAACAAAGAAATTCTGCCACCAAAGAATATTGCCCTAGACATGAAATAGCAGCATGGAACAATCTCCCTTCCAAACTGAGAACATGAACAAGACACATTGCCATGGCAACTGAAAATTTACCTTATAGATCAGCTGGATTTCTACATCTAACCCAGCAGAATGAAAATAGCAAAAAAACCCGAAAAGCCAAAGGTCATACTGACTTCAAGTGCTTTAAGGTGATCCAATTGCCTTAAGATTATTTTTTTTAATGGAGTATCTCATGTAAAAAAACTCATCAAAGTGGAGTTGTAAACATGTTGATTTATTGTAGTCTCCCTCCTCCCATTCATTACTTCTTTCTTTGCTCCCATTTTTCCATCTTCGTTACTGTGAGTGCTGTTTAAATTGCAGCGTGGCTGCAGTCCTCAGGATTGAACTTTCACACAAGTAGCAGATGATGGGCCCCAGCCGATAGCACAGAGATGGGAAGTCCAGACCTTAAGGGAAGGGAAGCTGCCTGTTAGCTCTCTTGCTGTTGAAGAAAGCATGTCTTTTCACTAAAGCCTCTCCAGGGAGCCTGTACTTTTGCACATCACAGCAATACAGACGCTCAGAGGTGAACTCGAAGGGCATCTCGTTATTTGCATCTGCCTTCGGGTACCTCGGCAATGCCATGAGACTGTCTTGTTAAGGATTTCACTCCCCAAGCAGAAAATCACAGTGCCAGCAAATACAGATTTCAAGACCTCTGATGTAACTACTTGCAAAAGCAGTGTCTTTAGTCAGCATTTCCAGAAGTGCTAGGAGTAAGCAAGTAACAGGAGTGCACGCTCCCAGCCCAGGGATGCGTGCCCTGCACCCCCACACACCCCCCACTCCAGGGCACTGCCAGCCCGCTCCTCTCCAGAAGCATTGGAGTGTGGCTGGTTACACACATGCAACCAGAAAAACTCTTGTGATTAGTGGTGACTTATAGACCCCGTGTTACTTGGAGCAATTAGCAACTTCAGTAGGACCACAGGAACTGCACCGTCGGTGCAGAGCAGGGAATGAGCATGATGCAGTCGTTGAGGCTTATGGATCCAAGCTCCTCCTTTAGCACAAATTCTATTTACCATGGACACCTACAGAAACCAGATCTGACACCCCAAAACGTTTCCAGGTAGAAATCAACAGTTCTGTCTGACAAACATGATCAAATTTGAAGCAGATACCTTGTTGCTGTTACCCAGCAGGCTTTCACTCACCATCTTTTTCCCACTGCACACAAGCATGGATGAAAACAGAGTTGTGCTAAATCAAAGACAGACAAAAGAAAGATTTCCTCACTTCTGGCATTCTTTGTGCATATTTTATATTTGGTTTTATTACATCCCAGCCATTTGCTTCAAATAGTCTGGCTGATAAAGCACAGCTCAGAGCAAAGGTGGTGCTGAAGCCCGGCGAAGGAGTTCAAGTCATGCCGCAGAGGCTGTGTTGCTGCCCCCACGCATAGCAGTGAGTATTCACACGGCTGGGACACTGGCAATCAGCTGAACTACAACGTGTAAAGAAATACTAGGGGAGTATGAGGAAAAGTAGGAATGGATTAAATAAATAAATATTTAGGTAATGTTTGTTGGTTTACAACACGACTAGAAGTCCACTGAAACAAAAAAAAAGAAAAAAAAAAAGCTTTCAACAGATTTCAGAGATTAGAGCTTCACTGTGCTGCCATTTACTTCAGTGGAAATAAAATAGGATGATTGCTTTGCTTTAGCTCATGTAGGTTGCTGTAGAGTGCTAGCCTATGTAGAAGTCTCTGGTTAAAGTAAGTGAAGTCTGTTTGAGCCGAAGCACAATGCAAACACTCAGGTTGGAGCTGCCAGATATTCTTAGACCTTCACAAAATACAGAGGAAATAGAAATCCAGACTGGCAGCTGAGCTTATCATAAAATAATGAGCACACTGGCAAAGTGCAATATAGCATTCCCGGCATGCATCAGAGAAAGCCACAAATAATCAAATGATATTTTTGTGTGCCACTGAGTATCAGGGGTGTCTATTAATACTAATGGGGTGGCATAGAATAGGCATATAAAATCAAAAATCAAACAGGCAGTTGTAGCATTAAAGTAATTGCAGTGGTTTGAGGAAAATTAACTAAAAAACATATGGTGATAGAGAAGCTACAATGCTGCTGTCCTAATGTATTAAACTGCAGCACCCTGCACAGATCATTGCATAGCAGCAAAAGCAGATAGCAAAGTATCAATATGCATACAAAAAAACTTAAGACTAACCAGGGTTTTATTTGCACTTACAAAACCAAGCACATCAAGTTTGTGAGGCAGTAAAACTTCAAGCTTTTTAATCTGATTGTGACCTAAATTTGACACCTGGGAGCCGCAAGAGAGGGAGGGTGGTCACAATCTACTGAGAAATGGCCTCTGCACTCCATTTGTTTTTTATTTCTTTTCCAACAGACATAAATGTTTTAAAAATGGCCATAGTTAATGCAGGTCCCATAAACATTATTCCTGTGTTATGTTATGTACACACACTTATCCATGCAACATAGCATGCACTTACTCAAGGATCTGCCCTGTTACACTATTATTTTGGGGAGGCAGGAATAGCACAGGCCAATAGGCTTTAGAAAGGGATTGTAGGCAGATGTAAGGAGACCCGTTGACTATCTGGCAAGTCATACCTAATACCTTTTCTAAAAGCCAACAGATGGTGTGTGAACAGGCAGCAAAGCTTATTTTCAGAAATATCAAAACACCAGACACAGTGCAAGCACAGGCATAAGGGGCAACAGATATAAACTTCAAGTTATTTTCAAGCACCATTAGTAACAAGAAAAGAAAAATCAATAAAGGATTGCCAGGTGAAAGGAGATGGGTTTTCTCACTGTAAGATGAGCTAGAAATCAGACCCCGATTTCACCTTCAAAGGAACACAGTTAGGAGAGCAGTAAAGGCTATAAACCATCCCAGAAACCTATTTGACAATGTCCTCTTAATGCAACTGATGTCAAAACCTTTCCTGACAGAGCTGCCTTTGCTAATAGTCTGCTATCATTTCAAAAGCACTCACAACTTAGACGAAATCTGCTAGATCCTGTAAAACCCATCTCCTTTGGCCTCCTCTGAAACCTTAATGTTCTACCAGGAGTTGTTAACCTGAAGTTGTAGTTTCAAACAGAGTTCCCAAAGGGGTTTCACGCAGACTCCTGCAAGGAGGTATTAGAGATACTAGGTATTAGAGAGATATCTCAAGACATTAGAGAGTTGTTATCACATTAAAACAATCTACAGATGCCTCTGCCCTTCAGAGTGCTGCTAAAACACCAGGCCAGTGGAACTGGGGCAATCCTGTGCTATATCACTACTTCCAGCATGACCTGAAGGAGGTCCCACAAAGACTGTCACTGTTTGTCCTGTGCCTCACAGAGCTCAGAAAAGTTTGGGAGAATGCAGAAACAAGGCTCCAACACCATGCAGGTCCATCCAGGAGCATTTGTTCAACCGGGTATAAGTCCCATGTACTTATATCCTCCAAGAGTGGTGGGGAGCAGTTCTCAGGATTAGCTCTCCCTGGTTGTCCTATGTGCCAAACACTCACAAACCTTCTCTCTCTGCCCTATAAATACTTACTGTTACAGTAATATGTAGCTTATGAAGAATAATCAACTACAAGCTCTTGCCTCACATTGCCTTGAATTAGGTGTGAACCTTTCCCTCAACTTCTACGCAAGCTGGTCCTGATGCAAATCATCTTCTTGCTGGTGGGAACTGCAGAATTCACTCCAAGTCCAGCATGACATCAAAACAATCATTTCAGCAGCTGTCAATGATATTTCTCACCTTTTTTCTCTTTCAAAGCACCCAGCTTCAGTTCAAAATAAACACAATTAAATATAGTGCTGCATCTTAATATGCACTAGATTTATTCCAGACACTTTTATTAAGGGGCCAGATTTTGGCAGTCTTCCTCATACTGAAGACCATCTTACTTCACAAGGAATTGTCTCCAACTTCCTCATGTCTCATTCAATCCCAATGATACCACTCATGTAAATGAGGGAGGCTGAATATGGACATTGGTGACCTGCCCTTGTAGTTAACGTATAACAAAAACTCTTCTGGCTGCCCTAGTGTTGGTGGCCTGTGTCCCCCAAAAAGCAGTGATTTCCCATTCCCCACACACTGTACAAATCACCTGGTGTTCTGTCATGCTCAGCACCATGATCTGTCTGGTACCTGCCATCTCTAAGCAAGCACAGTAGAGAAGAACCAAGAAATGAGTTGGGAAAGGAGGCAAACCTTGGGCATGCTGTTACACAAACTAAGCAGGACTCTCTCAGAAACAATCACTGCAACGCAACTCTAGGCAAGTGGCTAAAAACCCACCCCAAGAATGGGAAAATCACTGTAGCAGAGAGCAACAGGGAACAAACATTTCACTACCGGTGACTGTCTGTTGACAAGGATGCATGGGCTTCACTTCCCATCGACAGCAAGCCATCAAGACCCCATCCA